AATAATATGTAAAACGATAACCATTGATAATTTCCTACCATTTTGTCTGTAATTTGCTAAGTCCCCCCTTTTATTATGTTATCCTTCTTTTATTCTTTAAAATAAAAAAAAATAAAAAATAAAAAAATGAAGTAGATTCTTGACAAAAGACCTCTCCATCTCTTCTCATTCTCATTCTCTTTTCTCTCACTCCCTCAGTCTCTCTCCCGTGTGATACCTTCTACCGTGTTACAATAAGGCCTTCATCAGATACAGTTCCCTGATCCTGAGTTTCCTGCCTCCAGAAATGTGAACCACGTACATTTCATTAAAAATCACTCAGAGTGTAATATTCTGCTACAGTATCATAAAACAGTAAGACATATCAATTTACAGAAGTTTAAAAATGGAATTATAAAATCAGGTTTCTTTACCTGAGGTGTTTGCAATAATAATATAACTATTTCTCATGGAAGTTTCAATCTTTTTTTCCCTAAAACTCAGAAAACAAGAAAATCCTGATAACTTATAGTTATGAATATCTCTCTGAAGGTTTACAGGGCTCTAAGTACCTAAGAGCCCTATTTTTTGCAACTCAGCAAATGAACACAGTATCTAGAGATTATTGATCAACATATTTAAGATTTTTTAAAATGTTAATACCAGTAGAGGCAAACATAGTTATCAAACAATTCTTAAATAATCAACCTATTTTTAAAAGATAAATGATGCCAACATTATATTAAAATGCTTAAATTTGGAATTATGATACAATTCTGCCACCTAGAGCTCAGAGAAAATTGTTCATCTCAGTTATTTGAAAATGTGTAAAAATAAGGAAGCGCATAACATCTACTTTATTTCTGTATGAATTTAAGGTTTTCAATAATTACAATGAGCATTATCACAGTAAGTCATAATATTTTTCAAGTATTAGCCATATTAGAGAATGAAATAAATATAGCAAGATCATTTTACTATAAATAAGAAAAATGGGAAACAGATATTCAGCTATTTTCAGATTTTTCTACAATCCCTAGCTTTGGAGAATGATCCTTAAAAGTTACTTGTTAAACCAAACACACAAACTTAAATACCACATGGTATCTCTCATTTGAGTAAGGCCAAGGACAGAGTAACAAAGGATGGATGGAAAAGGACAAGGGGATAAATCTCTTGCAAAAGGGAAGAGGACAAGGAAACGAGGGTGTGGGGTCAAAAGTAAGGAGAGGGGGAAAAAAAAAACGACATGCCTTTACAGGAACCTACGTCAACTAACCTAAACATTACATATATGAGCTAAGATGAATAACATCAACAAGAATTAAAATTGAAATGGGAAGAAAAAAATACTTTGTAAAACAAGTCAAAAAGGAATAGAAAGAAATAGAAGAGAAAAATTCCTTTCTTTACACATTGTTTTCTAGTAGCTTTATTCCTATGTGCCATAATAAATTCATGGTTAAAATTTAAAAATTTTACAACCAAAATCAACCTACTTCAAAAATGTTCAAGTCACTGTCATCAGTAATCTACACTTTTTCAATCTTTTGCACCACATCATTATCAGCAACCATGCATTGGTGGACAATTAACAAGAGAATACTAGGGCTGGGAGGGCACAATACAACACATGTGAAAACGTGTACACAAAACAGAACTGAGGGCTGGAGAGCTTCCTCAGTGGGAAATCACTTGTCTAGCATTTGTGAGGCATTGGCTCAATCTCTGGAATTGCAAACAAAGTTGATGCGCACTTTTTTAGTCATCTATAAAACAGTAAATCATCCAGCATCACATTTTTATTTTTAAAAATTTAAAATGTCATCTCCTTTGACTAACAATTTGTTCCTAAGAATTAATCCTTTGATTGTGTACACATAAATTCAGAAAGGTATATGTGCAAAGCCTTCTTGCTACTGCTGCTCCAGTACCAGATACTGAACACAGAGGTGCTCTACACCTAAGCTGTATCTCCAGCCCTGTTTATTTTTTATTTTGAAAGAGGCTTTCACTAAGTTGCTCAAACTGGCTTCAAACTTACAACTCTCCAGCTTTTGTCTCCTGAGTAGCTGGGATTACAGACATCCACCACTATGCCCAACTACAAAGATGTTTTCAATTCATTATTTTTAACAGTGAAAAGGAAGAAATGGAAGGAGAAAGACAAAGAAAAGGAGGACAGTGGAAGAAGAAAGGAAAGAAAAAGAAAAGAAGAGAAGGACAAGGGAGGGAGAAAAACCCCATAATCATGAAGCAAAAACAAAACAAAAAAACCTCCAGTAATAAAACAGAAAAATTCCTACATTCACACAACAAAATATAATGTATAAAATGTGCTCAATGTTTGCTGATTTTTATAATTTTTCTGTGACGCCAGGCATGGTGGCGCACACACTTGTAATAGGATAAGGCAGGAGGATAGTTGCGAGTTCAAGACCAGCCTGGGCTAAAAAGTGAGCTCAAGACCAACCTGAACTGCATAGCAAGACCCTGTCTCAAAAAGACAAAAAAAAAATTCTTCTATGTTTTGAGAAAAAAAAAAATGATTGTATTAGCGGATGACTATAGAGCTTGCCATCAATATTTCCTACTCATCAAGTTTATGCAAAAATATGATTCAACAAGAAAACCAGTCCACTCTGATTTAGAAAAGATGTGTGAAGGCCTGCACTTTGATTCAGACTGCTTCAAGCAGCTTCTTTGGTGACCAATAACAAATCTATCAATGGAATAGTAAACATGACCACTTGGAAAATCTACATTATTCTGATCTTTCAAAGGGATAAAACCTAAAACCTCCTTGTAATAACAAACTATAATCAATCCAGAACTAAACGCAGATTATATATACATGCTATATGAAGGAGAAAACACTGTCATTACCTTTCCTGTGCTCTGCAGGATAGTTGTTCGTGTCCTCCACACTCTCTCTCTGCTGACAATGTCTCGGGTCACATCTACCTCAGCATCTACAAAACTTCTCTGTTTCAGGGCAGTTATATCATCATCTAAATCAGTCTTGATAGTAGATCTTTTCTTAGCCATAATTTTGGCTTTGATTGCAGCAATTTTTTCCACTGACATAGCTTCAGACAAAGACCTATAAAGCAGTAATTCTTTAAAATTTTCATAGCAAAAAATCCTTCAGCACATCATATATTTTGCATTTCTAAGTTTCTGGTGGCAATAATTAAGGTTTTCTTTCTATCTGTAAAACTGACATACTTAACATTTTGTAATCATAAAAGCTTTTTTTATAGACAAGGGCTCATATAGATACAACAATCTAAGTGGAAATTAGTAATTTCTTAGAAGAATCAATGCAACAAAATTTTTTACATATTTTTCATCTCTTACCCTGAAAAGAACTGGAATCATTAATATGGATGTTGTCTTAAATTTCATCAGCTAATCTCTATCATCTACAGAAATTACACACAAACCCAGAGGTCACCTAATAAGGGGGTGAAAAACACACCCTATACAGTTCAAACCTTAGGTTTACCTTGAAATTTATTTTAAGGTTTCAAACCTCACATGCCATAAAACACAATACACTTTATAAGTAAAACAAGTTTCTATGCTACAAATACACATAATTTTTTCAGTCTCTAGAAAATGAAATCATGTTTCCTTATCATTCCTCTGATTTTCTAACAGACAAATCAGCAAAGAGAGGCTATCCTTCAAAACGATAAAGAGACTTTAACACTGAAAGTCCAGTCATCATAAGATGGTAATCTTAAGCATAGTTTCTTTTTTTACAACATAAAATGAGACAAAGAATTTAGAAGTGGTTGAGTACCTTAGTTACTACATACGAAAATATTTAGTCACAAGATGAAAGTCTTGAAACACACTTATATAAGATCTGGAAAAAGGATGAAAATTCCTGCTGATTTAAATATAGTAATACTATATAATATATGAATTGTATTTAGAGTAGATATGAACATAGTTCAGGGCAGATGCTTAAGTATTTGGATGTGACTCACTCTGTTTAATACTATACAACACTATCCTAAAATTTAAAGCATACAGTATATCTTTTGATAAATTAAAATACTTTTCTACACTATAATCAAGCTTGCAGCAGAGTTTCAATCACTGTAGTTTTACTTCCAGTCAAGATGTAACAGCAGTACCCAAATTAACTTTCCTGCTTTGAAATGACCAGTCAAAATATATGATACAAGGATTTATTAGACATCATTAAAAGGAAAAAAAAATAATCAGTATAGATAAAAGAGCAGATATATAGGCTAAAGGTACAGAAAACTTATTCAGTGAAATAAGAGACAAATTTTCTTAGATCTCAGGAAAGATACGGAAATCCATGTACAGAGAGACCACAAGTTGACATTATTAGCCAACAATCTCTTTAATTTCATAGTATAGTTAAACCACCAAAAGTACAGAAAAGAGATGATCAAAAGCTGCAAAAGACACCTACTAATTCACTTACAAAACACAAATACATCGGAATAACAGTAGATTTCTTAACACAAACTCTTAAGAGGGCTGTGAATGATGTGTTTCAAGGCCTCAAAAAAAAAAAAACCTCTGCCAATCTTTATTACTATACCCAGCAAAGTTATCCTTCAGAAGCAAAAGAGAATTAAAGACCTTCCAAGTTAAGCATCAACTAAAGGACTTCTTTTTTTTTTTTTTTTTTTTTTTTTTGAGACTGGGTCTCGCTATGCAGTTCAGGTTGGCCTTGAGCTCACTTTGTAGCCGAGGCTGGTCTTGAACTCTCAACGATCCTCCTGCCTCAACCTCCCGAGTGCTGGGATTACAGGCATGCACCACTACGCCCGGCTTTTAGGAATTCATTACTTTTAAACCAGCATTGCAGGAGATACCCCCAGGAAAATAGTCACAAAATGGCAGGAAAGAATCTCACTAGAAGAAAAGACAAGCAAATAAGCATTCAGAAAGCATCAAACATTACTGATTCAGTAAAGCAACAATATATAAAATGAGTAATAGAGAAAGAAATGAATATGGATTACTCAAAAAACCAGGACAAAAAGGAACAAAATCACAAGAATGAGTATATACCTTTAAATAGTAAGTCTAAGTGTAAATGGCCATTAATTTTTATCTAACTAGAAGATAAAGACTGAATGGATTAAAGTCAAGAAATTCACCTCAATGGCAAAGATACACGACCAAAGGAGAAAAAGAAAATGATATTCCAAACAAACAGAATCCAAAAGCCAGCAGGCACAGCTACACTCACATCTGACCAAACAGACTTCAAGCCAAAAGCAAGAGACACAATCACTACTGATGAAGAGATCAGTCTATCAAGAAGATACAACTGCAAATATTCATATACCAAACAGCAGAGCATGTAAGTTTATGAAACAAAGAGTACTAGATGTAAAAGGAGAACTAGGCCCCCATATAATGAATGGGTAACTCTGACACCCCTCATTCACCAACAGATGATCTAGACAAAAAAAAAAAAAAATCAATAAAGAACTATCAGAATTAAACTATAGATTAAATGGACTTAACAGACAGGTACGAAATATCCAACTCAACAGCTGTAGAACACATCAGCTCTTGGAACTTTCCCAAAAACAGATCATATTTTAGACCACAAAGCAAATGTTAACAAATACCAAAAAACGTAAAATAATTTCTTGGAGAGAAATGATTTCATGAGATCATAATAAGATCATAATGGAATGAATGTGGAAATCAACAGAAGGGGAAATATAGAAATTACACAAATATGTGAAGACAATAATACATTTCTAAACAGTAGTTCATGGAAGAAACAGTGTGTGGAGGGGTAAAAATTCCTAGAATAAAATAAAAATAGAAACACACCATACCAGAACCTATGGGATACAGTAAAAGCAATATAAGATGGAAGTTTATAGCTCTAAGTCTCTTCATGAGAAAAATAAAGCAATCTCAACCTAATGATGCATTGCAAGGCTTTAGAGAAACAAAAACAAACCACACCTAAAATTGAGAGAATGAAAGAAAGAATAAAGATTGAGGCAAAATACACAATATCACTGAATCAGATCAAAAAATAAACAATTGACAAACCCTTAGTCAAACCAAGAGAAAGAGAAGAACCAAATATGTAAAATTACAGACAAAAATAGAGGATACTGCAACAGATACTACTGAAATCTATAGGATCATTAGGGAGTATTTTGAAAAATTATATACCAATAAACTGGAAAATCTAGAAGTAATGGTACAACTTGTGAATATCATGACCTACCAAAATTGAAACAAGAAGTTACAAAAAACCTAAACAGATCAATAACAAGCAAAGAGACTGAAGCAGTAATAAAAAGGTCTCCCAAAAGATTTACTGTTGAATTTCACCAGACCTTTAAAGAATACCACTGCTCCCTAAACTCAGTCCATAAAACAGGAAAGGAACCTTTCCAAACATTCTACAAAGCCTATACATACGTACATACATATATATAGTATGTGCGTAAAACTCCTACTAAACAGTAATATAAACATAAAAAAAATAGATCAATATCCTTGATGAACACAGATGCAGAACTCAACAAAATACTTGTAATTTGAATTTAGTATCTCATTAAAAAGATCACATCCCAGCACACAGGAGGCTGACACAGGAGGATTGCTGCAAATTTGAGGTCAGCCTAGGCTACAAACTGAGTTCAAGGCCAGCCTGAGCTACAAACTGAGTTCAAGGCCACCCTGCACTGTATTGTGTGACCCTGTCTCAAAAAATTAATAAATAAAATAAAAACAAAAGAAAAAGACCACCTACTACAATCAATTTGGTTTCATTCCAGGAATACAAGACTTTCAATATATAGTAAGCAAATCAATAAATGTAACACAGCACTTAATACAATCAATAATTGTGGAGAAAGGACTGTGATTGCTAATGGATTGATTACTGATGGTCGGCTTATGATCTCCAGCTGTAACAAGTGCACGTGGTGCAGGGTGTGGGAGGCTCGCCCAAGGATGGTTACCATCAGCTGAGAAGCAGAAATGGAAAGGGATAATGAATTTCTCCTGTTGGTCTGAGTTACGTGTTTGGTTTTAATAAAAGGCGATTGAGATGAGCGATCGGGGCGGCAGTCCCAGAGGCTGTAAGCCCCTTGATACCAGACTTTTGCCTCCCCTGTTTTTCTTATCTCTTTTACCTTTTCATCTGCGGGCACCTCGTTCTGGGGACCTGCTACTACAAGTTATTACCGACAAATAATAAAAATCATAATCATCTCAAAAGATGAAGAAAAAGTCTCTGATAAAATTCAACATCCCTTCATCGTAAAAGCCCTGAAAAACCTTGGTATAGAAGGACTACATCTCAACAGAACTAAGGCTATATACAACAAACCCAAAACCAGTATCAGAGTGAATGGAAAAAAACTGAGGGAATGCCTCTAAAAATCAGGAACAAGACACAGTTGTCCTTCTCATCCCTCTTATTAAAATATAGTGCACAAAATTTCGAATTTTATCGGAGCAACGAGGCAAGAGAAAAAATTAAAAGGGATACAAGTAAGAAAGTGGTTTGTAGATGAAATAACTGTATACTCAAAAGACCCTAAAAATTCTTCCAAGAAACAATTACAATTACAAATGATAAATGCAGCAAAGCAGTAGGATACAAAATCAATACATATAAAAAATCAGTAGCTTCACTGGGATGTAGCTTGGTAGAACCTTGCCTAGCATGTCTGAAGCCATGGGTTCAATCCCTACTATCACCACCAAAAAAATAAAAAATAAAAAAATCAATAGTTCCTGTATACACCAGTATGAACTCACTGAGAAAGAAATCACAAAAATAATCCATTCACAATAGCTTAAAAGCAGAAGAAAGCACCTAGCAATAACTTAAGCAAGGAGGCAAAAGACCTCTACCGTGAAAATTATACAACATTAAAGAAAGAAAATGAACACACTAAAAACATGGAAAGACCTCCCAATCTCAAGGATTTGAAGAATACTAATAAAATGACCATATTACTGAAAGCAATCTACGGATTCACTGCAATCGCCATCAAAATACCAATCACATTTTTCACAGACCTAGAACCATCAATCCTAAGATGTATAAACACAAAAGAC